TGTACACTTAAAATTATTTTCATGGCATTTTATGTTATAGCTCAATGAAATGTTTTTAAAATCTATAAAACACTCCCTGAAAGATTCAAAACTAGACTTCAACAAAGGAAAACACATATTCTAGAATATGAAGACTTACAATCATAAAGATGTCAGCTCTCCCTAGGTTAATCTACAAATGCAACCCCAACAAAACACCTAGGTTTTCCCCACTACCAACATCTTAAGATAAACAAGTTGATTATAAAATTCATTTAGAAGAATAAAAAAAGCAAGAATACCAGGAAAATATAAGTGACTATAAAATAAGATGGTGCTTAGATAGACGGAAAGGATAGAATAAAAATGTCATAAAGAAATCCAAATGGATACAAAAATTTGTTGTTGCTGTTAAGTGCAGACAAGTCGGTTCCAGCTCATAGCAAGCCTGTACAGTGTTTCCAACGAGTGACTGGTGGATTTTAATCACAGACTTTGTGGTGAGTAGTTCAGTGCTTATCACATCATATAAATATGGCATCTCAAGTCAATAGGAAAAAGACAAGATTTATAATAACTGGCTTTGTTGGGGTAACTGGATAACAACATAAAGAAAGAAAACTGGATCCATTTTTCAAAATGTATACCAAAATAAACACTAAATGGATCCCAGCTCTAAGCATAAACAAAGAATTGGAGGGAATTAGATTCATTCCTCTATAGTCAGGGATTGGGAAAAAATTTCCCAACTATGAAAAATCTAAAAGCAATAAGGATGAAGGGTAAGACTACATCAAAAGAAAATTTGAAATGTTAAGAAAACATAATAGGTCTGAAAATACAATAATTAAATTATTAAATATAAATTTAACAGTATTGATTTTTTTTTGGAGGGTCACACTTAATCTTGCTATTTATTAATTTCTAAGTACACAGTCCATTGAGGAAACTAAATTATTTGAAATCATACCTGGATATTAGTACATTTCTTTCTATTACGTGGTCAAGAAGCCATGAGAGAAAAACAAAATCATAGATTATGATGATTGTGACCGTTAAGGTTTTGTGTTAACTTGACCTAGGTCAGGATTCTCACTGGCAGCTAAAATGAAGTAATCGCTCAGGATGAGATCTGCTCTGAGCAATTAATCAACTGAAAGGAAGTTTTCCTCGGGTGTGTGTTCTGCTTCCAATACACTGAACTTTTGGGTAAAGCTTGCTCGCTTTCTGCTGGGTCTGGATCTTGCATCTGAATTATCATCTGAACTTCGGTTTTTTTTGGTGTTGAGCCAGTGGCCTACTCTATTGCCTGTCATTCCTAGGAGCCATTATTGTTGTTGTTAAGTGCCTTCGAGTCGGTTCCGACCCATAGCGACCCTGTACAGGGTTTCCGAGAGTGTAAATCCTTACGGGAGTAGAAAGCCTCATCTTTCTCCCGCGGAGCAGCTGGTAGTTTCGAACTGCTGACCTTATGGTTTGCAGCCCGATTCGTAACCACTACGCTACCAGAGCTCCTTTAGGAGCCATTAGCAGCCAACAATATTACCTGCCCAAGTGCCATCTCATCAGCCAATTTTGGTTCATCCCTGCAGCAAGTCTCCAGCCTGACATCTGACAAACAGACTTGGGAATTGCCTACCTCTACTACTGGTGTCAGACTGCAAAGTTGTCTGATCTGCAAGGTTGGTGGTTCAAGTTTACCAGCTGCTCCTTGGAAACCCTATACAGGATTGCTATGGGTCAGAATCGACTCAATGGCACTTAACAGCAACAAGAACACCACAACTGTATGAGCTATTTCCTTGATATAAATCTCTCTTTAAATATACATATATAAGCTTCACTGTAGTCCTCGTGTGGTGCTGTAGGTTAATGTTCTGGATGGCAAGGTCAGTTTGAACTGCTGATCAAGCTCACCAGCCACTCCCAGGAAACCCTATACAAGGTCGCTGCGGGTTGGAACAGACACAAGGGCACTCAACAACAAACTTCACTGGGACTCCTGGTGTGGCAATGTAGGATCAGCACCAGACTGCAAACCACAAGGTCAGCAGTTCACATGTACCAGCTGCTCCTCAGAAACCCTATACAAGGTCACTATAAGTTGGAACTGACTTACTGGCACGTAACAACAACAAATTTCACTGATTCTGCTTCTTTAGCACACCCAGCCTAAGACAATTACAGAAGAGAGAAAAAAAAAAAATGAATCACTAGAAATAAATCAACTGGTATAGGTTTGCATTTCCTGCTTTACTAAATTCAGAATTTATTTACCTTAAAAAACTCTTATTTGCTCTTTAAAAACCTTCCCATACTCCCAAGTACAAAGCCCCTACATGGTGCAAATGTTAATGCATCCAGGTAGTAACAGAAAGTTTGGTGGTTTGAATCCACCCAGAGGTGTTTTCAGAAGAAAGGCCTAATGATCTACTTCCAAGGAGTCAGCCACCAAAAACTCTATGGGGCAGTTTCATTCTGACAAACAAGTTATTCACTTGAGTCATAACTGACTCAGCAGTTACTGGTATTGGTATCCCCATTCACTTACATTTCAAAAGAAACTAACCTTTCTCTCACTTCAGAATTAGCTCTTCAGTGCTCATTTCATCAACTCACTGTACATTGCAACTGTAAAAATGATGCATTAACATAGGATGGTTTACAGATATGAAATATTTTATACTTTAAAGACTGTGCATTACCTTATTCTGGTTAAATACAAGGAGGCTTCCAAAAATATGTGGGAAAATTCCATTATCTTTTAATTCCATTTTTCCATGAACTTTCTGAAGTGCCTTTGTATAACATTTACTGTGTGTGTGTGAGAGAGAAAGCTAGATAATGACTGTATAAGGCATATTCCATCATTTAAATCTTAACTGACAAATTGTATGCTCTATAAGCGCCAGGCTGCAAAGCCATTTGAACTGCAAGGCTGGCGGTTCAAGCTCACCAGCCGCTCCTCGGAAACCCTATACAGGGTCACAATGGATCAGAACTGACTCGATGGCACTTAACAACAACAATAAGTGCTGTCAACACTTAAATTTTGCTCTCCTAAGGATTTACAGTTTTGGAAACACTATGGAGTAGTTGTACTCTATCCTAGAAGTTCATTATGAATCAAAATCTACTCAATGGCAATGTACGATATTATAATAAAAGAGACCTCCCAAATATCAACAAAAATATAGCACTTAAAGGAAATGAACACTAATGGACATCCAAGGTACAACAATTTGTCTCTATTTGCCTGGGGCAACAGAATAAGATGAAGAATCCAGAATAGGGTAGGACAAAGAATGTGTGGCTAACTGCCTCTATAAATAACTGCCTCCTTTGCCATGACACCAGAAGAACTGGATGGTGCCCAGCTACCATTACTGAACATTTTGATTAAAGATTCTATAGCAGAATCCTGATCGAAGGGGGAGGGGGGGAGATGCAAAGATGAATTTCAAAGTCTCACGGACTCCAAATTTTCTGGAGCCATGGAGACTAGCTGAATCCCTGAAACTATTGTCCCATGATAATCTTTAAAATTTAAACCAAAAATATTCTCTGAAATCTTAAAACCAAATAGTTTAGCTTAGCTAACAACACATGTCTACCCTGATCATATATGGGATCCATATGACAAAAGCAACTTGAAAGATTAGATAGGAACCTTAGGGGGATAAGGTGTTTATGTTAATGGGGAAGAACAACTCAGAAAAGGGCAAGAATGGCTTCACAACTCAAATAATATAAACAATGTCCCTGGAATGTACATGTAGAAATATTTGAACTTGTATATGCTTAGTTATATATAGTCTCAACAACAATAAAATAAACATTTTAAAAATGTAAAAGTAAAATACAATGGTACAGTCACCGTGGAAAGCAGTTTAGTGGTTCCTCAAAAGCTGAACTTAGAATTACCATTGACCCAACAATCCCAAGCCAAGGTGGTTGCTGTCAGGTGCCATTTAATCCATTCCAATTTACAGCAATCCTATGCACAACAGATTAAACCACTGCTGAGTCCTGCACCACCCCACAAGTCAAACAGTAAAAGCAGGAAGGCAAACAGAAACACGATTTAAAGAGAAATAAATCCTGATAAATGCCACAACATGGATGAACTTTGAGAACATGATGCTAAGCAAAAAAGATCAGACACAAAAGGACAAACTCTGTATGTTTTCACTTATAATTAAGAGACAAATATACAGAAAAAAAAAGCTATTAGTGGTTATTTGGAATGGGAGGAAGGGAAGTTGAGGACGTTTTGTTTAGGAGGGTAATGAGTCAATGTTAATGGTGGCAAAGTGGAAAAGGATACTGAGACTGGTTTTACAACTAAAAGAATGAGATGTTACACATGTAAAATTGTTGAATTGGCATATGTTTTGTATATATTTTCATACAACATAGACACATACAAAATCTACCAAGAAAGGGAAAATAACACTAGTTAACAGCCTTTTCAGTGGCTAGAAATGTTCTTATTGTGGTTGCATGTAAAAGAAATTTGTTATGTAGCTATCTGAAGAAGTAGTCATAAAAAAAAACACTACAGGAATAATCTGTGCACCACAAATAAACATCTCACATAAAACATAATTCAGTATATGTTGTTGTTGTTATGTGCGGTGGAGTCTGTTCCGACTCATAGCGACTCTGTACAGGGTTTCCAAGGCTGTATATCTTTACGGGAGCAGAAATCCTAATCTTTCTCCCACGGAACAGCTGGTAGTTTTGAACTGCTGACCCTGTGGTTCACAGCCCGATTCGTAACCACTACGTTACCAGAGCTCCAGGAATAATAAGTAAGATTGTTTTTGTCTCTGCTAGAATTGAAGCCATGGTTTAATACTCTAAGTAATTTGTTTATATAGCTTAAAAAGACAAGTTAATAGAGGCCTGGTATTTCTTCTAAATAAAACAGTAAAACACAGAAGTAAAAAAAATAAGCACAAATATAATGCAATATATCTTCCATATTTTACTCAAATGAGGTAACATTTTTGTTTTACCTGAGGGAACAGCTGGATTGTTTTGGTGGTTTTCACTGGTAGAAACAAACAAATCTTCTTCTCCTTCAGTAGATGAGCTGGAAGAAGACTCACTACTGAGGTCATTTTCACTGGAACTACTAGAACTGGGTAGCAATGCGTACTTTCTTCGGGCTAACACCTCTCGTTTTTTCCTCTGCATTAATATCCTCTCTTTTTGTTTCTGAGTCCTCTGTGAGGAATTATTTTTTACAAATCTCTTTCTACATGGAAGTCTCCTTAATGAACTGCTATGAAAACAAGGCCTTTTCATTAATAATCCTGATACAGATTCTGTCTCAGTCCGAGGCCACTTTTGGGACCGTGCACTATGAGTTCTACTTTTAGCACTCAAAATAGCCTGGGAATGTCTTACTGAGACTTCCTTGTCCTCATCAGAAGTCACAGTATCGGAATCTCCAAAATGCAGACTAGATGAAGGAGAAGACGGACAATCACTAAAAGAAGAATCATTATCTTCATCACTTGGTGTTTCTAAGTGTTGCCGCAATCCTAATATTCCCTGGTTCTCTTTAACACAATTCTGCATGTAGGAAGGGCCAGCCTGCTGGCTTTTGCGTTTTTTCCTTACAACACTTTTTTCTTGCTCGGGTTGGTTACCATTCATGTCCTTCTCTTGTTTTTGAGAATCATCACACAAGTGAGTGAATTCATTCCCCACTTTACTATTAATCATCTCAACTTCTGCAGGAAAACTTTTGGCTGCCCCAATGGGCTCAGGATGCAAGAGGATCCCTTTCAGACTCTCTGGTGTCTTTGGCGCATCAGAAGGAACCTCACTCTTCATATCCACTTTTAAGGTATACAGCTTCTTATATACAGGAGTCCATTGAGACATGGGAAATTTTTAAGGAAGACCTAGAAGATACAATTAGATATAAAAAAAAAAAATTAGTGTTTTATTATACTATTTAAGACTTCTCAGACCCCATTAAGATTATCCATACATATCTATGTAATAATGTAATAAGGCAGAATTGTCTTTTTATTAGCATATAAAACAACTGTAATGAGTCACCTTACTGTTTTTGTAAAACATTTTTCTGATACCTGTACTCATGTACTCAAATGTCCTAGAAATAAAATAAGGATCACAGAATATAAGCCTACTGGAATACTTCAATTAACCATAATCTGCTCTTACTATGCACCTTGGTACTTACAAAAACACAATATATTTGGACAAAAATCAAACCATTTCTTGAAAAGCTATTATAATAAAAATAGATAAAAGGATTATGATTAGAAGTCAAAAGACTTTGATCAGTTAACAAGTATCTCTTCCTAGTATATCACATTTCAAAGTGGTAATTATTAAATCTTTTCTATACATCTAGGAGAGGAAATACAAGACAGACAAATAAGGGACTAGCAATTGGAATAGGGAAAGTATAAAATCCAAATCATGAAGAACCAAAACCACCAGTATTCTGTTAACCACTGCTAATGCACCAGACTGCAAAGCCGTTTGAACTGCAAGGTCGGCAGTTCAAGCTCAACGGCTGCTCCTTGGAAAGCCTATACAGGGTCGCTATCAGTCGGAACTGACTCGACAGCACTTCACAACAACAACAACAATCCAAGTCTAAATTCTCATAATCTTTTGTCTACATTACTGATAACAAAACTCTAATTGGTTTTGCTTCTTCTAACACTCCATTTCTATATAGCAACTAGGATATACCCTAAGATTGTAAATCATCATATCACACCCCCTTCAAAATCCTCCCAGCATTTTCAAATTCATGGATCAAACTGTGTCAGATAAAGATGTATCAACTTGGCCAGGCCACCATTCTTTGTATTATGTAATTATCCTCCATTTTATGATCTGAAGTAATTATCTGTGTTGTAAATTCTAACAGGATCAGCACTGGATTACGATCCATTAGGTTGACAGTTCAAACCAGCCAAGCTACTCCTTGGAAACTCTATACAGGGTAGCTATCAGTAGGAACTGCCTCCACAGCACTTAACAGCAACAATGATGTTAATGAGACTGAATTAGAAGCCGTTAAAAGCACTGGACTGTGAACCACAAGGTCAGTGGTTCAAACCCACCAGCTGCTTCTTGAAAACTCGGTACAGGGTTGCTATGAGTTGCAACCGACTCAGAATCACTTCAGAACAACAATTATATTAATGAAGTAGGATATAATCTACAGGATTAGGTTGTATTTTACACCAATCTCTTTTGAGATTTTAAGAGAAATTAAACAAGTGAGCAAAGAGCAGAGGGACCTATTACTAAGTAAGAAAGCTGAAAGGGTAGCTTTCTATTAGACCAGGAGTCCCTTTGCTGAAAACCTCCTAGACCCAAGGAATGACTTGATGCCAAGACACATGTAGATCTCCACGGAATTACCAGGATCACAAATGTTGAAAGGAGACAACAACTTTCTTTCAGAGTCAACAGTGAAAGAAAGCCTTATCCTAGAGCTATACCCTGAATTTGTTTCTAGCCTGAATTGTGAGAGAATGAATTTATATTTGTTAAAGCCATCCATCTGTAATGTTTGTTATGTTGTTGGTTAAGTGCCGTTGAGATGGTTCCGAGCCACAGCGATACTGTATATATAGGGTTTCTGAAGAGCTGCTGGTGAGTTTGAACTGCTGACTCTGCAGTTCAAACCAACCTTGCGGTCCGTCCAGCGCTTATCCTACAGTGCCACACTCCCCAGAACTCCTATTTGTTATGCTGTTAAGTGCCGTCAAGTTGGTGCCAAGTTGGTGCCAACTCACAGAGGTCCTGGATAAGGTTTCCGAGGAGCGGCTGCTGAGTTTGAACTACTGATCTTGCGGTTCAAAGCAACCTTGCAGTCCAGGGCAATAACCCACCGTGCTATTCCAGGACTCCATACTTGTTATAGTAGCACTATATACTAAGACACCAAATGCCCCCAATATAAAAATGCAAAACTCTTTATCATAGCTTACAAGCCCATTCATAATCCCATGTTCCCTCTATAACTCACTCTGCCTCACCTCTTTATTTGCTAGGCTGCAGTCAAAATGAACCTTTCCCCTGTGTTTGGAACGCTTTCCCCACAGGTATCTGAAAGGTTACCTAGATTCTGCTCACCATTCAGGTCTTGGCTTAAACGTCACCTCCTTGGGAGGGTTCTCCCTGACATTCTGTGGCAGTCATGATAACTTGTCTTATAGACTCCTAACTACAAGGAACTCCGCTGACCAATACTCCTTAATGTTGGACTCTAAAATCCAACACTGTGTTTGCACCAAAATTACATTTCCTGCCAGCTGCTCCCAGAGAATGACTGAACATGGCAAGTCTACTAACACAGGCCTAACCCTTGGAGACCCACAGGAATCCTTCGACAACTGATTTAGCTCTTGCACTCTTTATGACCTTGCCTTGCTGAACTCCCTTACACTTCACTCAACCTTCCTTTGTTTTCTCTTTCACTTGATGTCAGACCTACACTGGGGTCTTTTTACTTTGTCTTCTCCAACTCCCTGCCTATTTTCTTTCAGAAGCATTTACTCTAATAAAATCCTCGCACATTTAATCCATCTTGATGTCTGGTTCTTGGAAGACTCAGAATAAACAAACACTCCACTTCAAAAACCATCCTCTATTTTTCATCAGTCAATATCACAACCTGAAACCTGCTGCCATCAAGTCAATTCCAACTCACAGTGCCTCTTTGGGACCGAGGAGAACTGCCCCCATATAGAGTTTCCAAGGCAGTAATCTTTACCGAAGCAGACTGAAAACATCTTTCTCCTACAGAGATACTAGTGAATTTGAATTGCTGACCTTTCAGTTAGAAGCCAAGCACTTAACCACTGTGGTACCATGGATCCTAGCCTTCCAGTCTAACACAATAAATTTACTAAATATACCAAAAAAAACAAACAAAACCAAAAAAACACTCAATGTCTAATTAGACTAAGAAAGGGACTACAAACATAATGAAAAGTATCTTAAAATAAAAAATGAAATTAAAATCTATTTGAGAGGGGACAACTTAAGCTGCTTATCTCTATGGATCATAAAATGTTGCAAAGAGTCATTGAGTCAATATGGGTCATAAATTCTTGTTAAGTTCTGTCAAGTCGGTTCTGACTCATAGTGACTCTGACCCTGTATAGGGCTTTAGAGGAGCAGCTGATGGGTTTGAACTGCCGACCTTGCAGTTCAAACTGACTTGGGGTCCAGTACATTATTCTGCAGTGCTGTACCAGGACTCCTGGGTTACAAATAAAGACCCATAAATATTTCATCAAAAGTAAATTAAAAGATCCTTTCAATGCCCAATATTTACCCTTTTAAATTTATAATTTTTAAAAAATATGCTATGATTTAGAATTTAAATGATATACATTCAACTAAGATAGACCACTGCTGCATTTAGCACACAAGTAGCTTGATTGTTTTTCCTGTAAGAGCTGAGCCATTACAAAGCATTCAACAACCACATTCCAGTTTTTAAAGTTTTATACCTTATCAAAATGACCTCTTGCAGAAGATAATCTTGAGTATTTCCAGACTTCCTCATTATTAACCTTATATTCAATTAAAATAATACACAGCATTCTGTAGAGCTCCTCACTTGTTTCTGTCTCTACTTTATTTCACTATTTTTAGAAAGTGTAGCAAGTTGTAGCATTCTCTGGTGGTTTTAAAACTGCTTATTAGCTGACCTCACTGGCACCTTACCCCTGACAGTCACTACTGTGATATGCTGAAACTGAAATTAAAAGTACATATTAACAATTATCAACATGATGTCCCTGGGGATCATTCCCATAACCAAATGCTTCCATATTGTGACGTTTATTAACTGATTCTCTACCCTGGTTTCTCTAGGTCAGGTGTCTTATGTTTAGATTAAGAACATGCTTAACATTTCCCAGTAAGCAGTATACAACTCCCTAAATTTACTACAAATAAAAGCTTTATCAAAAACTTCAAAATCAATGGGAAAAGAACTAAGATAGCAGACTACAATATATACATAGTATCTGCAGAATTGTCTAGTGAAGCTGACAATCTCCTCTACTCCAAAAAAGATCACACCCCAACAGCCTCAGGAACAAGAGCCGCGCTGCCATGACAGGCTTGTGTTCAGCAGTTCCACCCAGTTGAAGACGAACTAAGAATACGGAAAGACTGATCTTTACAGCCAGACTCCGATAAAGCTAGTTTCTGAAGCCACAGAAAACATTTAAATTATACTTGGAGCTGACCAAACTCTTAAATGGAGAAACTGAACATAAGAGAGCCAGTGGGGCTTTTGGACTTATGTCCCCTCCACAGTGGGTGGGAAGCACCTTCCTCACAGGACATCAAAGTAAGCCTGAATAAGAAAAACTATTTCTTCCACTTAAGCCACAGCATATTAATTATACAGAATTACCACTTTGGGAAACAGTCTTCAGGAGAGCCTACATGAGCTCATACAGTCTCAAAAGATCACTCCCCAACTTGTCCTTCAAGTTCTAGTTCAATTTGATAAGGCTATAAAGTCAGCATTAGCTCAGGTCAGGGACAGAGTCAATTTCATGGGCTCTCTCTAAATATGTACAGATTCTACCATAACTGTGGACTTTTGTTTTGAATTCAGAGAGGTGACAGAGATTATTAAAGTGGATAAAGCAAAAATTGTTGCCTGTTATGGTAAAAATACTGGCTCCAATACTACAGAATGAATAGGGGCAAAAAATGGCTTTTTTATACCATCTTCTGTTTATTCATCTCTTTTTGAAGAGAAGCATAGAAAGAGACTTTAAATTTATTCTAGCAAAGCAGAGATGACTGCACTGTACAGAACCAAAGAATTCCAGGAGAAAGAAGCTTGTAACTTTGTAGCCTCTTATATTACCCTTTACTA